ACACATCACTAAACATTGGCACATCACTCACATCTCCAATCACTGCCACAGCACCCACATCCACACACATTGACACAGGATACACATCTACAAACACTGCCGCAGCACGCACATCCACAAACACTGTCAGAGCACCCACATCCACAAACACTGCCACAGCACCCACATCCACACACATTGACACAGGATACACATCTACAAACACTGCCGCAGCACGCACATCCACAAACACTGTCAGAGCACCCACATCCACAAACACTGCCACAGCACCCACATCCACACACATTGACACAGGATACACATCTACACACTGCCGCAGCACGCACATCCACAAACACTGTCAGAGCACCCACATCCACAAACACTGCCGCAGCACCCACATCCACACACATTGACACAGCACCCACATCCACAAACACTGCCACATCACCCACATCACTAAACATTGCCACAGCACCCACATCCACAAACACTGCCACAGTAACCACATCCCTAAACACTACCACAGCACCTACATCACTAAACACTGCCACAGCACCTCATCCACAGCACACAGCACTACATCACTAAACACTGCCACAGCACCCACTGCCAAAGCTCCCCACATCACTAAACACTGCCACAGCACCCACATCACTAAACACTGCCACAGCACCCACTGCCACAGCACACACATCACTAACATTACACATCACCACATCTCCAATCACTGTACAGCAACCCACATCCACACACACACTTGGACACAGGACACATCTACAAACACCGCAGCACGCACATCCACAAACACTGTCAGAGCACCCACATCCACAAACACTGCCACAGCACCCACATCCACACACATTGACACAGGATACACATCTACACACTGCCGCAGCACGCACATCCACAAACACTGTCAGAGCACCCACATCCACAAACACTGCCGCAGCACCCACATCCACACACATTGACACAGCACCCACATTCACAAACACTGCCACATCACCCACATCACTAAACACTGCCACAGCACCCACTGCCACAGCACACACATCACTAAACATTGGCACATCACTCACATCTCCAATCACTGCCACAGCACCCACATCCACACACATTGACACAGGATACACATCTACAAACACTGCCGCAGCACGCACATCCACAAACACTGTCAGAGCACCCACATCCACAAACACTGCCACAGCACCCACATCCACACACATTGACACAGGATACACATCTACAAACACTGCCGCAGCACGCACATCCACAAACACTGTCAGAGCACCCACATCCACAAACACTGCCGCAGCACCCACATCCACACACATTGACACAGCACCCACATTCACAAACACTGCCACATCACCCACATCACTAAACATTGCCACAGCAGCCACATCTCCAATCACTGTCACAGCAGCCACATCTCCAATCACTGCCTCAGCACCCACATGCACACACATTGACACAGGATACACATCCACAAACACTGCCACAGCACCCACATCCACAAACATTGACACAGGATACACATCCACAAACACTGCCACAGCACCCACATCCACACACATTGACACAGGATACACATCCACAAACACTGCCACAGCACCCACATCCACACACATTGACACAGGATACACATCCACAACAACTGCCACAGCACCCACATCCACACACATTGACACAGCACCCACATCCACACACATTGACACAGCACCCACATCCACACACATTGACACAGCACCCACATCCACACACATTGACACAGCACCCACATTTACAAACACAGCCACATCACCCACATCACTAAACATTGCCACAGCAGCCACATCTCCAATCACTGCCACAGCACCCACATCCACACACATTGACACAGCACCCACATCCACACACACTGCAACATCTCATTCACACTCACGAGTGTTATACAGAGAGGAAGGGAACCTTATAGAGAGAGAGAAAGGAAACTGGTAAGAAGTTTACACATAGTGAAAGTGAGAGCAAGGATGGCCACGGCAAGGGGGTGGAACAGTAAAATAGAGTGTAATACGGAGAGCATCATAGAGAGAGCATGTTATATAGAGAGAGTGTAATACAGAGAGTATCAGAGACACAAAGAAAGAGTGTGTTATAGAGAGAGTGTGTAATACAGAGAGTACCATAGAGCGAGTGTGTAATACAGAGAATAAAATAGAGAGAGAGAGTGTAATATATAGTCTGATACAGAGCGTATCATAAAGGGAGATTGTTGGTATAGAGTGACAGTGTTAAAGCAGAGAGTGTTATAGTGAGATAGTGTGTTATACAGAGAGTGTTATAGTGAGATAGTGTGTTATACAGATTGTGTTATATGGAGATTGTGTGTTATACAGAGAATGTTATAGGGAGATAGTGTGTTATACGAAGAATGTTATTAGCAGATAGTGTGTTATACAGAGAGTGTTCCAGGGAGATATAGTGTTATACAGAGAGTGTTATATGAAGATTGTGTGTTATACAGAGAATGTTATAGTGAGATAGTGTGATATACAGAGAGTATTACAGGGAGATATAGTGTTATACAGATTGTGTTATATGAAGATTGTGTGTTATACAGAGAATGTTATAGGGAGATGATGTGTTATACAGAGAATGTTATAGGGAGATGATGTGTTATACAGAGAGTGTTATAGTGAGATAGTGTGATATACAGAGAGTATTACAGGGAGATATAGTGTTATACAGATTGTGTTAAATGAAGATTGTGTGTTATACAGAGAGTGTTATTGGGAGATGGTGTGTCATACAGAGAATGTTATAGGGAGATGATGTGTTATACAGAGAGTGTTATAGGGAGATATAGTGTCGTGCAGATTGTGTTATATGGAGATTGTGTGTTAGACAGAGAGTGTTATAGGGAGATAGTGTGTTATACAGAGAATGTTATAGTGAGATAGTGTGTTATACAGAGAGTATTACAGGGAGATATAGTGTTATACAGATTGTGTTATATGAAGATTGTGTGTTATACAGAGAGTGTTATTGGGAGATGGTGTGTTATGCAGAGAATGTTATAGGGAGATATAGTGTTATACAGAGTGTGTTATAGAGAGATGATGTGTTATACAGATAATGTTATAGGGAGATAGTGTGTTATACAGAGAATGTTATAGGGAGATAATGAGTTATACAGAGTGTGTTATAGGGAGATAATGTGTTATACAGAGTGTGTTATAGGGCGATAGTGTGTTATACAGAGAGTGTTATAGGGAGATGATGTGTTATACAGAGAGTGTTATAGTGAGATAGTGTGTTATACAGAGAGTATTACAGGGAGATATAGTGTTATACAGATTGTGTTATATGAAGATTGTGTGTTATACAGAGAGTGTTATTGGGAGATGGTGTGTTATGCAGAGAATGTTATAGGGAGATATAGTGTTATACAGAGTGTGTTATAGAGAGATGATGTGTTATACAGATAATGTTATAGGGAGATAGTGTGTTATACAGAGAATGTTATAGGGAGATAATGAGTTATACAGAGTGTGTTATAGGGAGATAATGTGTTATACAGAGTGTGTTATAGGGCGATAGTGTGTTATACAGAGAGTGTTATAGGGAGATGATGTGTTATACAGAGAGTGTTATAGGGCGATAGTGTGTTATACAGAGAGTGTTATAGGGAGATGATGTGTTATACAGAGTGTTAAAGGGAGATAGTGTGTTATACAGAGAGTGTTATACGGAGATGATGTGTTATACAGAGAGTGTTATATTTTACTCCATACTAGACTAGTAAACTTTTTATTTCCCCACACACACACACACTCCCCCACGTCCCACTCACACTCTGTGTTTTCCCTCTAGAGATCTCACTTCACACACTGGAAGGTACTTTGTAATGATGAATCTGTGTCCCAGAGCCTGTGCATCTTCCCTGTGTGTACTGAGCCCCCAGGTGCCCCCTCCCTCCCTCCATCCCATGCAGCCCCTGCTTTATAATAAATAAAGGCTGCAGGAAGGATACCTTGGGTGCTTTTTGGCTGCCTCAGTCCCCACCTCTAGAGTGAGAAGCGGTCGATAAGCAATTGTTATTGCGAGCAGGGAATGCAGAGAGAGGGTCCAGCTAGAACAATTCTCATTTATTTGGCAAGGTTTTTTTTTTTTTATTGGTGGGGGGCACCTGCCCTCCCCCTTTCCCCCTCCCCCCCCCCGTCTCTCCCCTCCACTGATCCTGCCAGAGAACAGACCCAGTGGGTGACATCCATCCATCCATCTCACTTTAGGGGTCTCTCTCAAAATACACACAGCAAACAAAATATAGGGAGACTGAGGGGTGGTGGGAGAGAGACAGGAAGGGTGGGGGTGTTTAAAAAAAGCCATTTGCTGCAAAACAAGTTTTTTTATTTTATTATTTTTTTTTTTTTATCTAGCACTCCCTAACAACCCTCTGTAAATGAAATCACTCATTTTCATCAAGTGGCAGACCAAATATTATCTACAGTGCATTGAGAGAGATCGAATCCTATTTAGAATCGCGATTCGACATCTGTTTTCAAATTTGATCATCTATGAACTTTATTTTCCGAGTTTGGGGAAAATTATATTCTATCGATCCCAGACATTGCCTGCCTGTACATATATTTTCTGCTGCTGGTGAAGAGAGAAGTGCTAAGGAAAGGGGTTTTATTCAGACTGCAGCTTACACATCCACACACACACACTTCCTCTCTATCCTCCTTTATTCAATCTTTCTATCCCTCCTTTATTCAATCTTTCTATCCCTCCTTTATTATATCTGTCTGTCCCTCTATCCCTCCTTTATTCAACCTTTCTATCCCTTCTTTATTTTATCTGTCTGTCCCTCTATCCCTCCTTTATTCAATCTTTCTATCCCTCCTTTATTTTATCTGTCTGTCCCTCTATCCCTCCTTTATTCAATCTTTCTATCCCTTCTTTATTTTATCTGTCTGTCCCTCTATCCCTCCTTTATTCAATCTTTCTATCCCTCCTTTATTTTATCTCTGTCCCTCTATCCTTCCTTTATTCAATCTCTCTATCCCTTCTTTATTCAATAGCCCTCCTTTATTCAATTTCTCAGTCTCTCTATCTTTCTTTATTCCTTCTCTCATCCACCTCTACTCTTTTTTTTCTTCCTTCTCTATCTCTCTTTTCTTCCTTATCTCTATTCCTCTCTTCTTTTTCCTGCTTCTCTCTATACCTCTGTCCTCCTTCCTTCTTCTATCTATTCCTCTCTCCTCCTTCTCTCCCTCTCTCTCCTCCTTTTCTCTATCCTTCTCTCCACCTTTCTTTCTTCCCTCGCTTCTTCTCTCCTACTTTACTTCTTCATTTCCACTCTCTCCCTTCTCTCTGTCTACTCATCCATCCCCTGTTATTAAAACACTATATTTATTTTCTCTTTCTCTCACTTTCTGTAGTTTTTTTTAGTTTTTTTTCTTTTCTTTCACTCTCTCACACCCACCCATAGGTTTCTGCCCTCTTATCTCTTGACCAAGACTTTTTTTTGTCTTGGAGGAAGAGTTTCTGAAGGTCCATCAAATACATTTGGAGGGTTCTTTAGTACGACCTCTCTCTTTTTTGCTTAACCTATCCTGGTTTCACCTATTTGCTCAGCTCTTCCTGAAGAAAAGCCAGCCACCAGCACCACTTACTGAATGCCAAGGAAAACGTGAGTTACTTTTTTGAAGGGGTCTGTGGACATGGCCATGGGTTGGGGAGTCTATCTGTCTGGTTACTGTTCACTTCTGTTTGTGTGTTGGACTTTACATGACGTGTGTTTGAATGGGAGGACATTATCACTTTGCAGGTATTTGCAAGGTTGTAGGACACAGTGTAAGAAGTCCATTCTACCCTTGTTGTGAAGATGACAACATATCTTATCTAGTGCAGCATGTGGTTTTCAGGGAGCTGAAGAGATAACACAAGGGCAGAATTCTTGGTGTAAAACCTAACTTCTGGATTGTAATCTAGAACTGGTTCTGGACAGTCTTACTTGTTTAGCTTCCTGGTTATGTATGACAGGGGGTCATGATGATAGCTGTAGTAAAATATTGTTTTGTTTGTGACTTTATTGTGTTTCTTAATGGGGGGGTGTAACAGAGTAATAATGAATGTTGTATAAAGGCAGAGCTGGTTCTTTCTGGGCAACTGTGGAAGACAAGTCCACTGTTATGGAGAACACTGTGGTTAACCTATGTAATCTCTGGATATTGGGAGGAGAGCTCCAAAATGCAAACATAGACCTGATTTATTTTATTTTATTTTTTTATTTTAAATGAAGATGTACCACAACTACTGCTGGATAACCACAGTGCTATGATCTCTGGTCTGGAAAGGCAACCCAACCACTGTTCCAGGTACACAACAGTGTGTTTGTACAGCAGAGGTTCCTGCACTTCCCTCCCACCTGGTGGAAAAGTTAGTTACTTTCAAACAGAGCTGTGTCTCTCCACTTGTCCATCATCCTGCTATGTTCGCCTCTGTAGTTACTTCTTCACAGAGCAGAGATCCTTATTTTCCCTTCCTTCTCTGTTAGAAAATCTCTATGCCCCTTCACATTTTTTTTTTTTGCTGTATCCCCCCATGTCTATACCCCGATACCTTTAATCCTTTCTGTCCCAGTATTTGTCATGCCTTACCCTGCATGTTATATCACTTTGTTTAGTATATATTACACATTCCATCAATTTCTTAAGTTCGGTCTCTATTTCTGTGTGTTTTATTTTGGTTTAGTTTTTTTTTTTAGTTTAGTTTTTTTTGCATTCTTGTGTCACCCCATTCCCCCTTCTATCCTCACCCTACATTTCCCCATCACATCAGTGTCACTGTCTCTTTTTATCCTCTCCCCTCAGTCTCACGTCTCTTCCCCTCTCTGCAGCTAACTGGGGCCAGTTTCCGTTTAGATTAAGCCAAGGAACCTAATTCCAGGGCAGGGATCGAATTTTCTGGCAACAAAGGGAAATAGCGTATTGATCAGCAGCTCCGGAGATTAAGAGACAAGTGTGTGTATCCATCAGAGCTAAACTGCCTCTCTCTGCCCTCTGTGGGGCTGCCTGCGGACGCCTGCTGCATGCCAAACTACCACTTCACTTTAACCCTCCACGCACTCTCCCAGGAGCTCACTGGGCCTTGTCTTGGGACCTCAGCCCTTTAAATGCTCCTACACATATGCTACGTCCTCTTTTGTCCGTAGCTTCCCTTCAGTGTAGTTAACCCTGACGATGAATAATAATGATAATAATAAAAAAAAAATGATCATCAGCTTTAACAACAGGGTTGGGGATGTTGCTGGGGTCCCCAAAATGTTGTGCCTCTGAAGGTAATTTGCAGACACTAACACCACCGCAGAAAGTATACGATGCAGTGTTCATGGATTACTCAATGAGCATCTCTGGTTTATGTTAGTTTTATCACCCCTCTATCCCGTTTGTTATTTACCTAAAAGTACTCTCATTTTTCATTGATTACCTGAAGATTTCTGCGTTTCATATGGGAAAGAATATGTCAATACGTCTTCTGGGGAAAGTTGCAGGGTAGCGCTGATGTTTTATCTCAATTTAAGATTGTCTCTGTTTTTTTAGAAACATATCTCTGTTGATGCTGTAATTGTTTTGGGTTTATTCGCTAAACACCGAATTGCAGTAATCTGAATATCGAATTGTAAAATTTAAGCAAAAAAGTGGGGATTAGGGAAAATACCTCAATTCGTCTATAATCCCAGCTAAACCTTTTAGCCTATGGTTTGAAATTCAGCTTTCAATTCATAATAATTTGTTGCCCAGTGAAAAACCCAGCTGTCTTAATAAGTGCCCTCACCCCAAAAAGAAAACATACATACATTACATATTACTTATATACTGCATATATTATATATATTATAGGATTACTTATATGTTTTGGTTATATGCAAAACAGCCCATGTTTCTATCACTCACACACTTTGCAGAAATGTTATGTGAATTGCTAATCCATAAACTGGTGTTTGGTGTCACCAGTAGGCGATGGTTTATGGTTGAGGGTTCAATGGCGACTTGTCAAGGGACTTTAACAGTTTAGACCAAAAACACTTGAACTTTAAAAATTCTCAAAACTTTGCTATTTTTCCTTCCTGGTTACTTTGGTCTATAATTAGCAATTCATTTGTCAATGTTTCATACCCCTGACCCTCTGAATAAACCCATAGTGTTGAGTTAAATAATATAATGGCAGTGTCCATGTTTTTCTTTTACTTGCTGCCAATGTGTTTATAATATTTTTGTTGAGGCTTCATAGATATGCTTTGATAATAATATTAACTCTTTTAATAAAGTTATTCAAATGCTGAAAATTTTCACTGCTTTCAAAAACTGTCCAAACTGTCCAAACTAGTCAAATCCTTTATTTAGAACCTTGTGCCCCAAAATCTTGACTGACCCCAAATTCTTCGTTTTTTTTAACCTCTGTCCTTGGTAATAGATATTAGGAACAAACTGAATTTTTGATACCAGGTGAAATTCATTTAGACTTTTCTTGCAGTGGTAGATATAACCCACCAGCAGGTAAAAATCCTCTAAATAGTGTACTATTGTGGCTTAAATTGTACATAAAATCTAAATATTGAACTTGGCCAGATGTTGAAGCCCAATATTAAAGGAAAGGGTCAATAAGAGTCAAGATTACTGTTCAACCACCTGCCATAAAAAAAATGTAAAAAAATATATGTGTGTGTTTGTTTGTGTGTGTGTCTGTTAGTGTGTGTGTGTGTTGTTTTTATTTTTTTAAGGATAATCTTTCAAAAATTCTCAGTGCATGATTGATAAACTCTTATCTGTAAAGTGAGGGGTTAAAAGCAATTTAGTGCGCGAGAGAACATATTTGTTTTGCAAAATTATTTTCTATACTGACCTGCTGCGACACCTTTGGAGAAGATATTATCTGGTATAAAACGAGATTTACATAATCATATCTTGATTGAGGATCACTTAATTCAATTTAAAAAACTAAAACTCAGGTCAATGATAAGTGACAAGAGTCTCATAAATTGAATGCAATTCAAAGCTTGCCTTAAAGTCCCCACATCCTTAACCAGTCAGCCTAATCATTGCAATTCATTAACCAATGGAATCCAACAAGCGTCTCCTTCAGGTGTTTATTTTAAAATAAATATTTAGGGATGAGAGTTGACATTTATCTCTTGTTTGCCAAAGCAATGCTTTAACTACTTAATTCCATTTTTTATTCACTAAGACACCCTTATAACGGGTTAGAATAGGTAAACGTATATCCTATCATTGTACAAGGCTGCGGAATATGTTGGCATCCTATAAATAATATATTTCGCTTGTAATGAATCTTTTAGATCAGTGAATCAAACTAATGCCTTTCAAGTGCAGTTGGACTACTGCTTCTATAGATCTGTCAGTCCCTAGCAGTTACACAATTCCAGCATCATATGTTAGGTAGACCCCCAGGTTGTAGATGTGAAAAAATACTTTAACTCTATATATGCAAAAGACAAAAATATACAGAATGGATATTCCCTTTAAGACATCAACAGCAATGGTAAACATTGAAAAACAACAATATTTAAAATCAGTATTTAGATATAACAAAAATCCAAACTTGCAGTGTTAAAAAAAAAATGCACTCAAGGGTAGTTTAAGAATTTTGCCAGGATTCCAATATAATTTATTGACTGTATCTCCACAGCCTGTCTCACTCTATATTTTTACCCTCGCCACCTCTCCCCCTCCCCCCCAAAAAAGCATAGCAATTTTTACCCTCAAAAGCTTGTGGGTTTCAACTGAAGTGTATGAAATTCTGAGAGAAGTTAAGCAGTTTATTTATATTGACCGTCAATTTTATATAAAGTTCTGACAAACGGCAAGAATGGGATTTTTCTGTTTGGCCAGCATCTGTTGGCAGTATTGGCCAATGACGTGCATGCAAAGAGTTTGGGTCTGATACATTAAAAATTGGCCTCTTTATTGAGTGGTAATTTAACATAAAGTTCTGTCAAATTCCACGGACATGATATTTATGTTTAGCTTGTGTTTGCAGGCCTCAGTTGGCATACTATTAATGAAGTAGAATATTTCTGTTCCAAAGAGCTCACAATCCAAGGTTGTCGTTTTCGAGGCTTATTGGCGTATCCGTCTTGCAGGTTGAGAGCATGGCACGATTCACTGATACAATGCCATACTAACAGATTTACCATTAGATGCTGCCTTCTTTATTTCTCTCTGTCA